TACCACCTTGACATCTCTATCTGGTTGAAAACAGGCATCTCAAACTTACTGTGTCCCAGACTCACCTCTGATCTCCAGACCTCTGTCCCCAGGGCCCCTCCTGCCCCTCCTGCCCCTGCCACCCCCAACTCAGCTGTGACTCGCTTGCTCATCCACCAGCTGGTTTTCAACTTCTTTCTTGCGTCTTAAGTCCGACCTGTCGGCAAATCCTATCGCCTATACCTCCAAATATAGCCATAGTCAGATCATTTCCCCCCAGCTCCACTGTTACGGGGTTGGTTCCCTGCCACTGTCATTTCCTGCCTGGATGATGACAATAGACTGTAGCTGTCTTCTGATTAGGCCCCCGCTCCACTTCAGGCCACTCTCAGCACAGCGACCTTGTTTAATCTATCAGGTCTCTTTTCAGCACAAAATCCTCTCACTTAAGAAAAGTCCTCACAAGGGCCCCTCACCCCTTGGCCTCATCTCTCCCCGTCTTCCCCTTCCTGTTCCTAGAACACCCTGGGCAGGCTCCCCGTAGGGTCGGCTGAGGCACTTGTCATTCTCTCTGCTTAGAACTTTCTTGTCACCTCCTTCAAGGTTTTCTTTAAACGTCATTATCTCAGGGGAGCCTCCCCTGACTAAGGTGTTTTAAAGTTGCAGCACTTCCCTCCTTCCAGCCTATGTTTTTTTTTTCCATTTTATTTATCACTATCTCATTTGCAATATAATTTGTTTATTTTTTCTTTCTGCTAAAAAAGTCAGCTCCCCCAACGCAGGGATCTTTCTTTTGCTCACATTTTATTCTTACCTCCTAGAACAGTGCCTTCCACTTAGGAACTGCTCCGTAAATACTTGTTGAATGTGAGGAATAAATACATGTGCGAGGAGAAGTAAGTTGCTCTCAGGGGGCTGAAAGAGAAGTTCTGAGATGCTGATAGCCTGAGCTTTGTTCTTGACTTTCTCCTGTTCTCCTAGGAAAGCCCTGAGGGTACCTAGCGTGTGCACTGTGTGAGACCCTGGGCCTAGGGCAGCGAAGTAGGTGGAGCTGCATCTTGACTTCTAACTGCTGTTTTTGGTTTTGTCCCATACTGTACTAGTGAATCTCTGTCTACGACAGAGGACAAAATGGCCTACCAGTAGCGTCGTAACTGCAATCTGAGCATCTTTACACAGAAATGAAAAAGCTTGGTGACCCTCAGTGGTTTCACACCCACCCCTGTGCTTCACCTAGGCACCTTCGGTCACCAGCATTGCTGCACGGGAGCACCGTGCACGGGTGCACAACGCACGCGTGCACACACTCACAGACTCACACACTTTATCTGGGCTTCCCTGCCTGGAAATCTTCAAAGGAGTTTTCTTAGTATGGGAAACAAAATATAATTGACTCTTGAACTAGTATTTCAACTGTGTGGGTCCACTTATGTATATGCATTTATTTTTCTTCTTTTTATTTATTTTTTTAATCCTTACCCAAGGATATGTTTGTTGATTTTTTTTAGAGAGTGGGGCGGGGGAGGGGGGGAGAGAGAGAGAGAGAGAGAGAGAGAGAGAGAGAGAGATCAGTTGCTTCCAGTAGCCACCCTGACTGGGAAACAACCCGCAACCTAGGCATGTGCCCTGACTGGCAATCCAACCCATCGCCTTTTGGTGTACAGGACGATGCTCCAACCAACCGAGCCACATCCATAATATACTGAATATTATTTTGGAGATTTGCAACAATTAGAAAATACTCAGATGGACTTTTTGATTCCCTTAGTAACATTTCTTCTAGATTATTTTATTGTAGGAACACAGTACATAATACATATAACATATAACATATATAATGTGTTAATTGACTATGTTATCAGTAAGGCTTCTAGTCAACAGTAGGTTACTAGTGGCTAAGTTTTTGGGGAATCAAAATTTATATGTCGTTGACGTAAGAAATGTCCTAACCTGTAGAGAGCTGTATGAGTTTATTTGAGCCAAACTGATGGCACTTGCCGAGAAGTAAAATCTCAACAGACTGGGAAAATGTTCCAGAAAATGGCAGTTTTACCACTTATTTTATACATCAAAACCAGAAGGGAAGACATTGGGGGGGTTACATGAAATTCACTGGTGATAGATTAGGGAGGCAGGGAAAAGCAAAGTGGGGAAATTTCTGAAACTGGATAAAAAATAAAATGGAGACACACATACTTCTTTTACATTGGTGGGTATAAGATAGTTAACTGTTAACATTTACAGCACATAGAGATGGTATGTGGGAGAACAAGATAACAGGGAGGGGTTCTGTGGTCTCATTTTCTGATGGGAGATTGTGCCCTGAGGGGTCTGGAAAAGGGGCTTACTCTGACATTCCAAAGGTGTATTACACTCTGACATTCCAAAGGTATGTTATCATAGATGTAAAAAGACAATAGGCTCAGATAAGGAAAAGATTGACCTTTGTTAAGGAAGAGGCTGCCTTAGGACAATGCCTTAGGACAATGACTACAACTCATGACTCTCCTTTAGTTAGCGAGCTTTCATTTCAGACCATCCTACCTGGTTACTTTAAGTCTTGGGGTTTGTAAGGCCTGCTATGCAGGCCTCCCCCGAGTTTGTGAGGTTTAGTATGTGGCCTTTTTTTCATCCACAATGTGGATTTTGACTGTGTGTGTGTGCGCGCGCGCCACTAACTCCCGCACTGTTCAAGGGTCAACTGTACTTCTCCCTCCCGTCCTTTGTCAATATACAAAAGAGAGTTGCAAGATACCATACGTCCTCCATGTACAATAAAGTCTTTTTACAATTAGTTTCAGATTATCCCTTTTTCCTGCCATCACTGTAACTTAAAGTATCTTGCTTAACTGGGTAGCGTCACCCCCCAATTAAGGATGCCCCTGGCATCCCTACTTCCTGCTGTAGCTCAGCCTTCATGTTACAGTATGTACATTATGAATGTTGTATTTAATAGAGCCTTACTTAATTAGCTCTCTACTCTTTTACCCTTTCCCAACTGGAACTCTCAGTGCTAGCATAGATATTCAGTGCAATCGCCCTGCGAAGACGTTCATTCCCAAGTGCCCCCCGCCCGCTCAGTCTAGATCTAATGCTTGCTTTCTTCACAGTCCAGCTAAAATTTCCTTTTCCAAGGATTCTTTTGGGAACATCTTGAACCAACATCATTCCTTGATTCTAAATGCTTTGGCAATTCATGGTGTTTCACACTCTGCTGGATTTGTTTATAATTGCTTTCTGATAATTCCTGCTAATTTCTTTGACTTTTAAAAGATGACCATGTTTTAATATTTAATATAAAGAACAGATAAAATCAGCAATTTGAGAAGCAACTTAGGGATAAGCAGTTGGCTTCTGAGGTTTAAATTGCTGGTTAAAAATTGTTAACTACTGGTATAGGTGGAAATCTTTTACTGTGGAATATGAATGTATTGGTGATGTTACATTATTTTATAGTCACATCTCAGATGCATAATCTACTTTTGCATTATTACCATTTATTCATAATTGTGCTCTTATTTGGGTACATGATTGTTTTTAGTCTACCTTTTGGTTTTCCTCCACATACATTCCTGGTGTTGAATTTGTTCGTGATACTTGTGTGGAATGGAACGGCGATTTAGGACAGGTGGGAAAATTATGGGCTACATCAAATGAATTGTAGCGTATTAAAAACTTAGTCATTTGAAAATGTAATTAAAAATATAAAAAAAACAGTTTCTGTGGGCTTTTGACCCAACAGTTCATCGTTGACCATGCTTTCCCCAGCCTGAACTCTCAATGTGGGATCCTAGTTTCCGTGGGTGAGTGGTTATTTTGCCCTGTAGCTGCATCCTATTAAAGAAAGTCGGAATAACCTTAACTTCATTGCCAGATTAAGCAGAGAATGCATTCTAAACGAACAGTCTTAATTCCTCCGGGTTGAGACAGGTTTACCCCACTATCACTTCTAAGTAATTGAAAACTGTTGGAATCATCCTGACACTTTCCAGGGGCGTTACCATGAGGCTAGAGAACCACACTTATTTTGGATAAATGATTTCTAACGTGGACACGTGCTTGGAATTACAAACACTGGAAGGATCTCAACAAGGCGCTTTGACTGAGGAATCTGAACTGCAACGTCGCCCTCGCCCAGGTTTCTAAGGCGATGGGCACTGCGGGCTCGACCAGCGGGCCGGGGGTATCAGGGGACCGGCCGCAGAGGCAGCAGCCGACAGAAGTACTGGGGAGGGCGCTCGGCTCCTGTAGGGGCGCATGGGGCCCGCCGGAGCGCGGGAGGGTCGCGGCTCCTCGCCAGAGACAAGCCGAGGACCCCAGAGCGCGTCCCGCCGGCCGTCGTGTCCGGCGCCTCCCTCCAGCCAGCCCGGGCCTCGGCTCCGCGCGCGGGGAAAAGAGCGCGGCGGTTGAAACCGTTACCACACTAGAGTTTTGAACTGGTTCAAACTTGGCGTTCGGCCCCGCCCCGCCCCTCCGGCCCGGGAACTCCGAGGCGGCGGTTCCCGCCAAGCGCCGCGAGCGCGCCGTCCCGCCCTCCGACCAGTTCCCGCCACCCCTCCCCGCCGGCCTCCCGCCCGTGGACCGCATTTAGGGCTCCACGGGCTTCTTGTGCCCTTCTTAAGAGGCGCCGAGCCTTCAGCGAAAGAACAAAGAGCCGGCGCGCCGCTTCCACTCTGCGTCCAGGCAGCCGCGTCCCTCGACTCCCACACGCGCGCACGCGCACGCGCACCACCAGCCTAGCCCGGCCGAGTCCCGCGGGCGCCTCTGCGTGGGGCTGGCTCGGCGCCTCGGCGCCCGGCGGGCCCTGTGATTGGACGGGAGCCCGCTCGCGTCCCGCCAATCGGGGCGGCGCTTGGTTGGACGGGGGGGCCAAATAAAAGCGATGGCGATTGGGCTGCCGGGTTTGGCGCTCGGTCCGGGAGCGTCCGACACCCACTGGGACGCAGAAGGCGGTGGAGCCCCGGCGGCGGCGGCGGCGGCGGCGGCAGTGGTGGCGGCAGCGGCGGCGGCAGCGCGCGGGAGCGGCGCGCGGGAGCGGCGCGGGCTGGGGCTCAGGTAACGCGCCGCTGTTGGGCGGCCCGCCGGCCGGCATGGCTCCGGAGCCGGGCGCGAGGCGGCGGCTGCACCGGGACGTTCCCGCCGCCGCTTTGCCTGTCCGGGTATCGCCCTCACCAGGCTCTCTCCGGGCGCCGCTTTTGCTGGCGGGGTGAGGGGACACCCCTCGAAAGGGGGCCGTAAGGGCTGGCCCGCGCCACCCCGCGGGCGGGCAGTGCCGGACTCCGGAGACCCGAGAGGGGGGCAGGAGCGGGCGCCGCCGTGGGGGGCGTGCGGAGGGGTCTTCTCGCGTGCCCGCCCCTCCGGAGGCGCGGGGCCGGGCCGGGGCGCTGGGGTGTCCGGGGCGGGCTGGCCGCCGGAGCCCAAGTCTCCTTTGTGTGGAGCGCCGGGTGGGACGGGACACACACAAGTTGGTGGGACCTCGCTGCCGAGTGAGCACTCAGACAAAGGACGGACTGTGTCTCAGGGGAGCTCGGCGCGAGAAAGGGGCAGTGACATGGGCCTGACAGCAGGCGGGAGAGGGGCGTGCGGGCGGGGGTGGGCGGGCTCGGCCCCACGCCCCCTCCCCTCGGGCGCGCGGGGCGGCGGGGCCGCAGCGGCCCGGACGGCGTGCGGGGACTGGACTCCGAGTGGCCGCACCTGTGACATTTCCCCCAGAGCAGCCTGAAAACCCGGTGGCCGCGCCGGACTGCCTTCGCTTTCCTGTCGGGCTTTCTGTTAAGTTTGAGAGGAGGGTCGAGCTGCTCTCCCCCCTTCTTGGTTTTGTTCATTTCGGGGGCTTCCCGTCTACTTCCCGCGTCATGGTGCACCCCCTCCAACCACCGTCAAGTCTGTGCCACGGGGTCACTTTTCGAAAACGGGAGGAATCGAGAAGCACGGTATTTTGGGAAAACTTGGTGAACTCACGCTTAGTGAGTTACCACTTTCTGAGGAATCATAATTAAAAAAAAAAATTACTAGCTGTTTTGGCCAACTTGATACTGAGAATGGCGACAGGTGCTAACGAAATCAACTGTCATTTAGTCGGCGAGTATTCCCCCCAATCCTTGGGGGCTGAATGAGGATGAGATGGATGGTAGAAATAGTTGATCAGAGCAAAATGCTTATGACAAGTGTGTGTTTAGATGGTATGGTTAGCAGTTATTTATTTATTTTATTAATTAGTCTTGTTTTCCATGAACAATAGCCTTGGTGAGTCAGGAAAGACTGGATGCAGAAATGTTTGTTGCCTAAGAAATAGAATGTGTGCTGTCCACAGTTAAACTAAACTTCCTTTGTTTACCACACAGGATCTGTAAAATTTAAATTCGTTTGGACATAAAAATCTGTCATTGGTGTTTAAAGATATTTTACTACAAGGTTTACTTTCTAGGTTTCAAAGGTCACGAGTTTAATTTTGTAAAACAATTTAAAAATCTTTAGTAAACACTAAAGCTGATGCAGTTGAATGTAACCTATATTTCCAAGGATTTTGGAGTTTATTTTCCAGTTCTCTTCGTGAGCATAAGCAACTACTTCATATGTAGGAATAAAATGTGGAACAAATGACTAGTTTATTGATAATTTTATTTACAAGAAAACGAAAGTATTTAAGATATGTTTTATTTCCTTTTCATAGTCTCTAAAATTAGGAATAAATAGGATGCTGTTCTCATTTTGGAGGTGTATTAGGGAATGTAATATTTAAAGTTCCAGAAACCCTTAGGAAAATGCATTTTAAATTCTAATTTTTTGTTGAAAATGAATATGTTCAAAGAAAAGGAATTTAGAACCACATAGGCACTCTTCTGATTTGCATTGTTCTGTATGATGAAGACTTAATGTACACCTAATATCTTATGATTTCATAAAAATGGAGACAAAGAAATGCAGTGTGAAAGTATTCCGTATATTTATAGAGTTGGACACAATTGAACAGACATTACAGGTGTTGCCCTCAGTGCTGAGATTGTTAAATAATGTTTGCATTTAGATTACTTGCCGGTAAATATGTTTTAAAAAGTCCTGCGAATAAGCTTGTCCATTGTAATGAGATGAGCTAGATATGCAGATTTCAGAAGAAATTTGGCTGTTTTAAGCTAAGAAATTAAAAATTTTCCCTTCTTGTGTATTCAGTATTTGATAATTACTATCTTTGTACTTGCCACGAGATATTTTTTTAAAGTCTTTTCGGGGAATTAGTTTAGAAATTGGTTTTAAATTTTTTTCTGATTGAATTGAGAATGTATTTAGGCAGTTAAACTAGCCATGATTTAAAAAAAGCCCACTTGTGATTTAGTGTAGTTAGGCAAAAAAAAAAAAAAAAAGTTCTAATGCTATATTATACCAGCTTTGCCTTTGCATGCATACATGTCATTATCTTTGTGTTGACCACTTAAAAATTTTAGGGAAATTTCCCCAGGAATGTGAATTGATTTTTGTATTGGCCTAAATAAACAGTGATTGAGAAAGTTGATCTGCTTCTTAAAAACCAAGAACAAGGAAAAATTCTCTGAGGAGCTAATGCAATCCAGGGTCAATTAGAAATGATTTATGGATTTGCCTTGAAGTCTGTGTCAGTACAAATGGTGAAAACGTTTTCTTTGAATTATAAAGCGTTCTGTATGGTCAGTTGAAATCTCTAGTTTGGATGAGAGCATGAGTGGAGAGGAACAACAGCTCATTCAATTCAGAGAAGGGTTCAGGGTCAGATGATACCTTTACATTCTAGAGGCCTTCTCTGAATTCTCAGGCACACTTGTATTCCACAGGGCTTTGTTCATACTTTTATTATAGCATGTATCAAATTGGATTGTAATCACTTGTTTATGCAGCCAGCTTCACTCTACTCTTCAGTGCCTTAAGACAGAGGCTCTGTCCTATTTTTTTCTGTATATCTGGTAGTTGCTAGAGAATAGGGGCTTAATAGTCAAATGAATGAAAAAAATGGAGAAATAATTTGACAAAGTAACTGAAAAGAAACAGTAAATATTAATATTTGTGTCGCGAGGAACTTGAGAAGGTGTGTTTTCTCCCTCTTGGAGAGGCAGTTATTACAAAGAAAAACAAATGTCAAGATGAACAAGTTCCAAGGTTTCTCATAATTCCATTGATATGTGATTGAAAATTGGATATTTTTTAGGTGCAGCTATTGGTATTCACGTTTGATATTTGGGGCAGCTAGAGAAAAGCTTGAGTCATCTGGGTACCTAGCATATAGTTTCCACTTAATTTGATGATACTGATGATCCTTATACAAAAATATAAGGAGGGGAAAGTGGTCAAGAATAGTAAATCTTTTAATTACAAGGTGTCTAGTTACAGTGGATGAGTTCTTTATTGGAGTGATTAATTTGAGGTAGGTTTTGAAGCTGAAACGGAAGGAAATAGTTCCAGCCAGTGTAAATATGGATCATTTATTGAGATGCTCATCATTTCTTTAAAATGGTATGATAAATGTAGATTAGCAAATCCAATAATCTCTCAAAAAGCATAGCCAATACATTTCTGAACTGGTTGCTCTGTTCCCAAGTTTTGCCACTCCTCCACTACTTGGTGCAAAAAATAAGACAAAAATGAAGTAAAAAGAAGATACTACAGTGCCTATATTTGCCAGATGCCTTATGCATTTGTTTGATTTTTATTGTGGTAACATTCACATCAGATGCTTTATTTTTATTCTTGTAAAAACTACCCTGTATCCATCAACAGATGAGTGATAGACACATACAATGGAATATAATTTAGCCATTAAAAAAGGAAATTCTGATACATGCTTTAACAAGGATGAACCTTGAAACATTGTAAGTGAAATAAGCCAGGCACAAAAGGAAAAAAAACCCTGTAGAATAGGCCAATTTATAGAGACAGTAGAATGGAGGTTACCAGGGGTTAAGGGAAGGGGGAATGGGAAGTTAGTGTTCATTAGGGTACAGAGTTTCTGTTCGGGATCAGGAAAAGTTCACACGGCTGGTGATGGTTGAATGACATTTGGAATGTGTTCTATGATACTGAATTGTAGACTTAAAAATGGTTAAAATGGTAAATGTTATGTATATTTTACAATACAAAAACTTTAACAACTCACTCTGAAAACTTATACAGGTAAGAAAATTGCTGTCCTGAGGGGTTAAGAACTTGCCCAGGATTATTCAGCTAGGAATTTGCACTCAGGATCCATACTTAAATTCTGTTTAACTCCATATTACCTACTCCATGTTATCTACTAGTAAAGTCATGTTGGTTTATTTGAGTTAATCAGAAAGTTTTATGTAAGAGTATATAACTGTAGTGTTTTGGGAGATGCAAACTGGTGCAAAAGATGTTTGTAGATATCTTTCTTAGCCAGAGCTGTAATGGTGTGCACTCAGGGTTTGGGGGAGGATGGCATTTTCTCTCTTTTTTTAGTATCTTCACCGAGGGACATGCTTATTGATTTTTTTAGAGAAAGGGGAAGGGAGGGAGGGAGAGAGGGAGAGAGGGAGAGAAACATCAGTAAGTTGCCTCTCATAGCACTCTGAATAGTAGGTGCCCTGAACTGGTATCAAACCTGAAATGTAGGCATGTATGTACCTTGCCTGGGAATCGAACCCACGACCTTTCGGTTTACAGGATGACACTCCAACCAGCTGAGCCACACCAGCCAGGGTGGGAGGACAGTGTTTTAAGAGCGTGGTCTTTGGAGTTGGCTTTGCTTGAGTTCCAGTTCCTGAGCTGCCAGGTTGCAGCCTAGGTAAGTTGTCCTTGATGTCTAAGTTTCCCTGTCCGTAAATTAATCATAATGACAGACAGTATTCATTCCATATGGTTGTTGAGAGGATTAAATGAATTACTACATGTGAAACCTTTAGCACGATACCTGGGATAAAGTGTTTGATAAATGGTTTTTAGTTATTGACAAATGATTTAGTTATTGTTTAGTTAAAACAGTATTGTTTTTATGAGTTGATGTGTATTCTCATTAACAGAACTAAGCACTCCTCAAGTTTAAATATGTGCTTAGGGCCTGTAAGTCAAGAAAG